AATTCAACTGCAGCTTTGAGTATTGATCGATGCTGGTACTTACCTCATACAATACCACCATGAATCATACTTATTTTATAGCTTGGAATAAAAAGGCTTCATCAGATTATATTACATCAATCAGAGAAAAATACTTAACAGCATCAGGTATGAGAACAACTGGAACATTTCTTATTCACCAAAGAGTTCCATAAACTTTAAACAAAACAGATCGAAAAGTGTTTCTCCATGCTTTCTAATATCTGAGATTTTATTTTTTTGGCTGATTTTGGACCAATATCATGGACCGATATCAACATGGGATTGGAGAAAAAGATACATGAATAAATATTTGTTAATGAGTACCTTTTATAATTCTTGGACATCTTGTAGGATAGGCAAATAGGTTTTTCCTCATTTTTTTGAGTGAATAATAAATAAAATATTTATTAACCAATTTATCTGTAATTTATCATAAGTTGGTCAAATTGAAAATTCTTTTTAAAGAAATTCTAGAGATCTGATGTGTTTATGCTGCCCCTCCGCATCTCATTGCTGAGCACGGCCAGTCAGCACTGACAACAAACAACCTTGACTGTCTGGGTAGCTGTGAAAAAGTCAGACGGTTTAATCAAGGGTTGGAAAGTTAATGAGTTCCAGGCATCACTTTTTTCACTTCTTTGCAACCCCAGTCAATAAAGCTAAGATAACCTATCAGCTAACTGTGCAGGTAGTCCAACTGAATAACCAGTTTTTGTAAGCAAGCAAGACAAGACATGTCGTTACGTAAAAATACTTGTCTTTATTCATGTGTCTTTATTCTTTGTTTATGTTTCTTAATTTGTTGCATTTTGTATATATATATATATATATATAAAACTATTTTCTCACCCCTCGTGGGGTGGTATGTGTCATCCTCAAGCTTGCGTCCTCTACCAGAGGCCTGGGAGTTTGAGGGTTCTGCGCAGTATCTTAGCTGTTCCTAGGACTGCGCTCTTCTGGACAGAGACCTCTGATGTTTTACCTGGAATCTGCTGTAGCCACTCTCCCAGTTTGGGGGTCACAGCCCCCAGTGCTCCGATTACCACTGGCACTACCTCTGCTCTTATTTTCCACATCTTTTCTAGCTCCTCTTTCAGCCCTTGGTATTTCTCAAGCTTCTCGTGTTCTTTCTTCTTGATGTTGCTGTCGCTTGGGATTGCCACATCTATCATTACTGCCTTCTTCTGCTGTTTGTCGATCAACACGATGTCTGGTTGGTTAGCCATCACCTGTTTGTCAGTCTGGATCTTGAAGTCCCATAGGATCTTAGCTCGGTCATTCTCAACTACCTTAGAAGGTGTCTTCCATTTTGACCTTGGGACTTCCAGCCCATACTCATGGCAGATGTTCCTGTACACTATGACAGCTACCTGGTTGTGGCGTTCCATGTATGCACTTCCTGCCTGCATTTTACACCCTGCTGTTATGTGCTGTATTGTTTCAGAGGCATCTTTGCACAGTCTGCACCGGGGGTCTTGTCTGGTGTGGTAGACCCCGGCCTCTATTGATCTTGTACTGAGTGCCTGTTCTTGTGCTACCATGATTAGTGCCTCTGTGCTGTCCTTCAGTCCAGCCTTTTCCAGCCACTGGTAGGATTTTTTGATATCAGCCACTTCTTCTATTTGTGTGTGGTATACGCCGTGCAGCGGCTTGTCCCTCCATGATGGTTCTCCTTCCTCTTTCTTGTCCTCACTTTCGGTTTTCTCCTGCCTGAGGTATTCGCCAAGCCATTTGTCTTTGGGGGCCATCTTTCTGATGTACTCCTGGATCTTAGTTGTTTCATCCTGGACAGTGGTCTTGACACTCACTAGCCCTTGTCTTCCCTTACTACGCTTGGTATACAGTCTCAGGGTGCTGGATTTGGGGTGAAACCCTCCATGCATTGTGAGGAGCTTTCTCGTCTTGATGTCAGTAGCCTCTATCTCCTCCTTTGGCCAGTTTATTATACCAGCGGGGTATCTGATGACTGGCAGGGCATATGTGTTGATGGCTTGGATCTTGTTTTTCCCATTCAGCTGACTTTTCAGGACCTGCCTTACTCTTTTTAGGTATTTGGCTGTGGTGTTCTTTCTTGCTTTCTCGTGGTTTCCGTTAGCCTGTGGCAGCCCATGGTATTTGTAGCTGTCCTGAACATCTGTTATGTGGCCTTCTGGTAGTTCAACCCCTTCGTTCTGATCATCTTCCCTCTTTTTGAGACCATGCGACCGCACTTGTCCAGTCCGAATGACATTCCAATGTTGTTGCTGTAGATCCTGGTAGTGGAGATCAGTGAGTTAATGTCTCGCTCACTCGTGGCATACAGCTTGATGTCATCCATGTAGAGGAGGTGACTGATGATTGTTCCGCTTTGGAATTGGTATCCATAGCCAGTCTTTGTGATTATCTGGCGGAACGGGTTCAGGCCTATGCAGAACAGCAGTGGGGATAGTGCATCACCTTGGTATATGCGGCACTTGATGGTGACTTGTGCAATTGGCTTTGCATTTGCTTCCAGACTTGTTTTCCATAGCTTCATTGAGTTCTTGATGAAGGCTATTAGTGATCCTATATATATATATATATATATATATATATATATACACTATATTGCCAAAAGTATTTGCTCACCCATCCAAATTATTGGAATCAGGTGTTCCAATCACTTCCATGGCCACAGGTGTATAAATTCAAGCACCTAGGCATGCAGACTGTTTTTACAAACATTTGTGAAAGAATGGGTCGCTCTCAGGAGCTCAGTGAATTCCAGCGTGGAACTGTGATAGGATGCCACCTGTGCAACAAATCCAGTCGTGAAATTTCCTCGCTCCTAAATATTCCACGGTCAACTGTCAGCTGTATTATAAGAAAATGGAAGTGTTTGGGAACGACAGCAACTCAGCCACGAAGTGGTAGGCCACGTAAACTGACGGAGCGGGGTCAGCGGATGCTGACGCGCATAGTGCGAAGAGGTCGCCAACTTTCTGCAGAGTCAATCACTACAGACCTCCAAACTTCATGTGGCCTTCAGATTAGCTCAAGAACAGTGCGCAGAGAGCTTCATGGAATGGGTTTCCATGGTCGAGCAGCTGCATCCAAGCCATACATCACCAAGTGCAATGCAAAGCGTCGGATGCGGTGGTGTAAAGCACGCCGCCACTGGACTCTAGAGCAGTGGAGACGCGTTCTCTGGAGTGACGAATCGCGCTTCTCCATCTGGCAATCTGATGGACGGGTCTGGGTTTGGCGGTTGCCAGGAGAACGGTACTTGTCTGACTGCATTGTGCCAAGTGTAAAGTTTGGTGGAGGGGGGATTATGGTGTGAGGTTGTTTTTCAGGAGCTGGGCTTGGCCCCTTAGTTCCAGTGAAAGGAACTCTGAATGCTTCAGCATACCAAGACATTTTGGACAATTCCATGCTCCCAACTTTGTGGGAACAGTTTGGAGCTGGCCCCTTCCTCTTCCAACATGACTGTGCACCAGTGCACAAAGCAAGGTCCATAAAGACATGGATGACAGAGTCTGGTGTGGATGAACTTGACTGGCCTGCACAGAGTCCTGACCTCAACCCGATAGAACACCTTTGGGATGAATTAGAGCGGAGACTGAGAGCCAGGCCTTCTCGTCCAACATCAGTGTGCGACCTCACAAATGCGCTTCTGGAAGAATGGTCAAAAATTCCCATAAACACACTCCTAAACCTTGTGGACAGCCTTCCCAGAAGAGTTGAAGCTGTTCTAGCTGCAAAGGGTGGACCGACGTCATATTGAACCCTATGGATTAGGAACGGGATGTCACTTAAGCTCATATGTGAGTCAAGGCAGGTGAGCAAATACTTTTGGCAATATAGTGTATATATATATATATATATATATATATATATATATATATATATATATATATATATATATATATATATATATATATATATATATATATATATATATATATATATATATATATATACATATATATATATATGTTTGCAAGTGCCTATTGCTGTTCCACCTTAAATATATATATATATATATATATATATATATATATATATATATATATATATATATATATATATATATATATATATATATATATATATATATACAGTAAACATATAAAAAATAAAAAATATAAAAATTCAAATAAATACAAATAAATAAAAACAATGGGGTGAAATATCCCTATTACAACAGTTAAATATCCGCAGGCTAGATTCAGTTACAGCATCTGATTATTTGCATCCAGATGCTAGTAAAGAAAATTTTGTTTTTTTATGAACTTTGAACAGTTTACGTCATAGTTCTAAGCTTATCTTTTGTATAACCCTTTTGTATAAGAAAAAAGTAGTCTGTTCAAGTATACTAAAAGTGCACTAATTTCATAAATAAAATCAGGCAGTGCACTTAGAGTTTACTTATTCTAAACTATATTTCATATAGGTAACAATAGTATAGTCAAGTGTACTTGACTATATTATTGTTTACTTTATTGTTTACTAAAGTATAGTAAACTTAAAAATGTCCCAATTTAGTTTCAAAGAAGTATTACTTTAGTAATACCTCAAGTACACTAAAAGTACATTGTTAGTAATACGTTCTAAACTTATACTTAAGTATTCTTATTAGAATTTACTTCAAGTATACTATTTTTTTGCTAAAGGAATCCAAAATATTATTGTGCATTCTGTCACCAAAACTACTAAACTATGACACAATGTGAAATTTGATCCTGACAACAAAACCTCATTAAACAAAAGTAAATACCTTTTGAGAAAAAAATAACTAAATATTAAAATCTGTGTCAGTTAGAATGTATTGGTTCCTTTCAGGTCCTGTTTGAATTGATCCAAATTTTAGATGCTTAACTAGTTGGTTTCAGGAATGACCGAATATCTCAGTGATTGGTGCAAAAGTCGAGCTGTAAATACCTAAGATTTAGAAAGGAGTGCGGGCTTATTGCCTCCTAGAGCTGCCACGCACCAGAGGCCGAACTGCGCATGCGCAGAGCTTCCATCCGTCTCCTCGGTGCCTAGGAGGTTGGAGGAAGATGATGCGGCCGAGCGGACCTCGTGTGCAGCGCGCCACTTTTTAGACGTAGATTTTTCACTTGCCTTGTCTAGTTTCTTGCCAAAAATTTGTTGCTGTTCAATGCGAAGGTGCGAGAGGAGCGAAACAGATTAGGTGCAACGAGAAAGAAGAAGAAGGAAAGGAAAGGTAGAAGTGAGGCGCAGTGAGCAGGGCTGGGCATCAAATTGCACCGGATGTCATTATACACTGTTAAATATCCAGGATGTGAGTATTTCCTAAAGCGTGTGTATTTGTGGCTTTTTCATTTGTGTATCTCAAACCTATTTTTTGTTTTTTTATATGCAGATATTTGTATATTCAAACCTGTTGAACTTAACTGTTCGGGTTAAATTGTAACTTTTCACAGAGTAACCTATTTTAACTCCTAATAATATTCATTATGTTAATATTTATATTCTTAATTTTTCCTCTTATCTTTCACCACATCAGTCAACCACCTGTTAAACCTGAGGAGGAATAACTCCACTTCAGAGAGTAAACCATGGCAGGACTCCTCCATAATACTATATTTATTACTGATAAGCTATGATTGTAATTTTCAGAGTTTTATTAACCAATTTCCCAAAAGATATATGCACATATTAACCGAGCAGGCTCTGTGTCTCTTTGGGCATTTGTACTTAGGCCCTCATCTAAGCTCATTGATCAATTGAATTTAAGCCTCTTGAGCAGCCAGAGCTGAAACCTGCTGACACATGCGCTCCAGTCTTTTTGTTGCGCTTCCCTCTCTCCCTCTCTCTTATCTGGCCTCTGTGAGCTCAACTACATCCGGATGCGTTACCATGCCTCATAAAGTGTCCATCCTTGCAGATTATTTTATCCATGTCTCTATGTGTAACTCTGAGCTAAAGTCCTCAGATCAATGCTTACATTGTCAGAAGGTAGTTACTGTATGCTTAGCTATTAATTATTTAAAGGGCATCTGATCTGAGTCATAGGATTAATAATAGATTAATATAAAGACAAAAGCTCTCTGACAGGTAGAAGCTGTTTGTCATGAAAGGCACCCTAATTAGTCTCAGTGAGGCCATATTTAAAGCTTGTACTCTATGGGGTCCAAAAGGATATGATTTATAGGGTGGGTCATCACAACTCAACTAATAACTGATAATACATCCTCCGTCGTTGGATATTTGTTAATTATGCATAACTGTTATCAAGGTTAAGTGATGGAAAGTGAAAATTGGGCGTCATCTTTGTTCGCCTCCATCCAGTCAGAATACAGAGCAGGGGAAGCCAGAGGTCACAGGACAACCCCAAATTTATTGCTGCTGTGCATGTAGAACAATCAAAAGCCCCTATTAATTAGAAAGAAATTGAAGCCAATAAATTCCTTATTGGTCTGCTCTAAATAGCAAAAACTGGCAGGTGAAAAACTGAGTTTATTTTTATTTTTTTGTATCTATCCCAGGTGATCCACCAATAAACCCATAAAGACTGTAACCAGAAAGTACTTTGGTGCTAAAGGTTAAAGTTTGATCCAATGTAAGGATCTTGTTCCTAATTTTTTTTATTTTAAAGTAGGACCTGTTTATCACCTTTTACGGTATATACAAGGGCATGTGAACATACGACATAAAGAAATATTGGTTCTTTCTATATTGCCATAGTTAGCTCGAGTTAGCTCATGGATTTACCTTTTTTAACATAAAATACATCCATCTAGGATGTAAAATTATTCTCCTATGAATAACACATGGAAAATCAGATCACAAGATATTCTTATACATTAATCAAATATTTGACGCTTCATATGATAATATGAAGCCCTTTCATCATAATATAGGCACATGTCAATATGATATTGGGAAAGATATTTTTTAAGTGTAACAAATTATCATGGCTATATCAAGTTATTTGAGTTTTGCCAACATAGTAAATATATATTTGTCAACCTGATTTTTGTGATTAAAGTGTCTTCTTTTTTGTGGTATATTCTATACATTAGTGCGTTTTTGCAAGTTTCCAGTTGGTTTCTGCCGTACTGCAAATACACCTTAATTTCCCTGCTGTGGGACAATATATGTTTTTTCTATCCAGCATCTTCTTTTCTATTTATAGATCCTATGGTTGCTCTTCTGCTCTTTGTACATCATAAATGTGCACAAACTAATTTCTCCCCCTGTCACATGTGTCAGTTTGCATACACAATAAAACCCACTCACTCACCAAATCTAATTTAAAGTAGGACGAACATGTTTAGCATGATGAGGTATTTGTTTGGCCAAAATAGTTCTTTATACTTCTAACTTCTTAGATTACTTTGCAGCGGTTCCCTTAAAGCCCTGCTTTGTCATACATACCAAACCCACAATACACTGCAGCTGCAAGTAAAAGTATTGTGCATTGAAGATTGTAGGGCGTTGCCCTGTGTCCCTCTGATGGGGCGTGCATGACCTGTAATTTAATTTTTCTGTCTCTTTGCTGTTTTCTGTCTCCACAGTTTAATCACAACCAGCGGTGGAGCTATGGAGGTTGTAACACATCTCGTGAATGACACAGTAGAGTTTTATAAATGGAGCCTTACTATAGCAGGTAAGATGGTTTCACCAGTTGCTGATCCTCTCACACTGCTAGTGTGGCTTGTCATTTATATATGGCGGAAAAAACACATTGCAATGCTTTTCTATGCTAGAGATTTAAAGCGACTGTTGATCTATGTTTGCTTCTAAACCAGGTTTTGCAAAGAGTTTTCAGTAACAGTTTCAAGTGTTCCAGTTATTTCACCAGACAGCTGATAAATTACTTATATGTGCTTTAATTACATTATAAAAAGTATCGGAGTGGTCTAATTTCAAAAGAAATAGATAGAAACAAAAGTCTCCTTGTTTCATAATGATCTGCTGAAATGTTGGGACCAATCAGCCTCGTTTCCTGGCTGATTACAAACTTCGCTAAATCCTTTTATTTTTCTTAGAACATAAAAGAGCAAACATTCATGGTGCTATAAGAGTTATAGTCGTTTTTGAATCCAAAAGTAATAAGATTGTTCCCAGCAATGCAGCAAATGATAGCCTTTATCTGATTTTTTTTTTTTTTTTTTTTATCAAGAAAATGCTTCAGAGTGCATTCTGTTTGTGTCTGTTTTCTAAAAACTGAAAAGTTTATAAGTTCCTCGTTTTGAGGTATTTAATTAAGAGATAAAAGGAGCTGTTAGTTGTGTTTTTTTCACCAAGCTGTTAAAGGGAACACTGAATGAATTTAGTCTCTGGTCATGTGACTAATTTAGTTCTGCTTTAATTAGATTTTTACACGGTTTAGATAAAATGTCAACTGACAAAATCTCCCAACTTTCTCCAGACAAGAGGGTGGAGAACTGGCCGATGATGGCGTCTCCCTCTCCCACCCTGGCCATCAGCTGCCTGTACTTGATTTTCTTGTGGGCGGGGCCTTGGTACATGCAGGACCGCCAGCCCTTCACACTCAGGAAGACCCTCATAGTGTACAACTTCAGCATGGTGGTCCTCAACTTCTACATCGCCAAAGAGGTTGGTGTCAATGTGGACAGATGCAATTCTTTTTTTAAGTTAAAGTCTGGTTAGGAATGTCAAACATCATTAAGTGATGAAAAGAAAACTAATCTCCATCTTTTAAAGATCCATTTTAAGCTGCTAGCTTTAAGTCATTGCCTTACTTCATCCAGGCATACTCGCCAAGCTTGATACATACAAGAATAATAATCAGTTCAGTTTATTCATTTAGAACCAGTTTTTGGCAAAAGCAATCCCTTGGCTTTTTACAAGAAAAAAAACATGTTTATCCAAAAATCTAATTTTGTCCAAAATCAGATGGAATTGTTCGGTTGTTTATGTGCTCAAACTGAATTTGGAATAATTTCCAACAGAATGATTTAGAAATTTTTTTTCCTTAAACAAATTTTTTTTTTATTGATGCAAATGTGTGTACCGGTACATGCTTTATTGCCTTGGCTGTTCTTTCCCAACCTTGATCTAACTTTGCCATTTGCCCCCTCTTATCAGCTCCTACTAGCATCAAGAGCTGCTGGGTACAGCTACCTGTGCCAGCCGGTCAACTACTCAAACGATGTGAATGAAGTCAGGGTAAGCTCCCTCGCATGCACCTTTCACTGAGCTAATGTGTGCACTCACCCCCATCCCGTCTCGAGAAATTTGTATTCATTTAACAAATCTTGATGTTTACGTGGGTCACCTATCGTGCATGCAGCATTTTCTGTGCCTAACAGGTGGGGTAATGCTGTAATCTTGTTGCTGACGTTAAGAAGATCACTAATTCTGCTGGGTATCAGAGTAGGAGAGAAACAGAGAGATGATGAGAGCCCGGCATTTCTAACTAGGCTGATTTTAGGACAAAGAGGGTGTGGTTATCAGTCACACCACGAGCTGGAACTCCACCCACTTTTGCAGCTCACTGCTTTGGTGGGGCTGGAGTAGCTGTTGGGTTCAGAGATATCAGAGAATGGCCTTGTGGACCATGTGCTTGCCCAACATACATGGAATATTACAGCTTAATTAACAAAGAAAATAGATGGTTTGTGGCATATTTTGATGGAAGTTTTGCTTTGCAAAAACCTCCATTACACAATGTTACATGTCACAGATTAGGACATTTAACATTCTACTAAGTAGTGACTGAATTATTGTGAAAGATCTTTTCATCATAAATAGATTTTTGCTTTCTTTAAACTGGGAATGTGAAGAGTAGGTGTTAGTAGTCAGCGTCTTATTTTTTCCTAGACACAAATCTGGACTGTCATAGTCTGATATAAAACCGAATACAGAACAAATATTTACTTTCAAAAGAAGGATTTTATTACTAAGCATTGAAATTATTAGATCAGAAAACAAAGACAACTACCTGAACATGTCTAATGTGACTGCTATTGACCAACTACACTTAGATGACATATTGTCTTCCTATAAAGTGGGAAAGAAAAACATAGCTAGCTTGTGCTACTAAGGCTAATGTTACCTTAAGTAAACAAACCCTTTTTTTACTGTGAGTTAAATCCATGATCACACCCACTAATTTCACATAACAGCATAATTTGATATCTTATTTCATCCTGTGGAAAAAGTTTCGGCGAGGCCTTATCAGGATGTTATTGTAGCTATAGTTCAAAATGGTGGTTTTTGAAGATGATAGCAGTATTTTATCCTACCCAAAAATCTTAGCCTGTTTTTATGCCTGATCTTATGTTTTTTTATTTAGGATTATTGTATGACTTTCATCGTCTTCATGGATGCATATGCATATTTACAGATAATATGTCACTATACAGATATCTGCTGCATATATTCATTCTGCTTCTTATGTCTCCAGATAGCATCTGCTCTTTGGTGGTATTACATCTCCAAAGGTGTGGAGTTCCTGGACACAGTCTTTTTTATACTGAGGAAGAAGTTCAACCAAGTCAGCTTCCTCCACGTCTACCATCACTGTACCATGTTTATCCTCTGGTGGATCGGTATCAAGTGGGTCCCTGGTGGACAGTGTGAGTAAATAGTTGTGAATCCCAGAGTGAACCAGTCTTTTTGTATTTTTTTTATTTATTAAGTAAAATTTAGAAAAATCTCGACCCTATCTACAGCGTTTTTCGGTGCAACCATTAACTCTTCCATCCACGTGCTCATGTACGGCTACTATGGGCTGGCTGCCTTGGGACCTCATGTGCAGAAATACCTCTGGTGGAAGAAATACCTCACAATAATTCAGATGGTGGGTAATACTTTTACAAATTAACCTTAGAAACAAAATTCTCCAAACTGTCTGGTAATAGAGTAGAAACTTCAGTTAAAATAAGATTTTTATTTTTCTACTCTTTAGATAATGATACAGAGTTTGTTATGGTAATAAACTATTCCTTTATTATGTAATTGCACTATGTCGTATTTTGGGTTGGGTGATAATCTCTTTTTCAGTTAAGAGCTCAGCTAGTAAAAATAAGTTGAAAACATATTAACTTATAGTCATATTTTCTTTTTTAAATTAATCTCACCAATCATCAATTTAAACCGCAGTATGAGGCTCTGAACGCTGTCATTTATTTCAATACTTCAAATAAATAATATTCTTGGCCAGCTCAAAGCAAGCGCTAAGAATTTACTCTGTCTTCCTCAGCCTTTCTTTTTTCTCTAAATAATTGAAAACGTAAGAGATTAAAACTAAGGAACTTTGCTGTATATTAAGCTTAATTCAGCTCAAAGTTCTGGCTTCTGTCATGATTTCTCTGGGTGAACCACAGAGATTTCTCAGCATTTTGTAAAAACTAAAAATCCTCACTGATACTGAAAGCATCTGGTTTTGAGTCCACCTTCCTTCTTAAGATTATTCACTCAACAGAAGGGAAACAGAAGGGCTGCCGTTAGCTTCGGAGCTCCGCTAGTTGCTGCGGTCCTCTCACCTTCGGAATTTTTTTAAAATGATGCTTTAAATTGGGAAATGGGCCATAAAGTGACGCTTTAAAGTATAATGTTCTTGCCTCAAATTATCTTAAAATGTACTTTCATTGAACAACGGCAACAGAAAAGAGAACTTTTAACTTAATACTCAGAGCTCTGTGAGCGCTCCACTGAAAGCTGCTGCTGCCGCATTGCATTCTGGGACATCTGTCAGTCTGGAGAACTGAAAAGTCTGCTCTGATGCATACTCAGTAAATAGGGAGGGGCGAGAACATCATCCGGGACTTTGTCCTTTCTCCGTCTGCTGTTCTTGTGAATTGGAACAGTACTAGGGCTGATGCTGGTGACGTTTTACGAGCACATGAGAGCGCACAAGTACACATATTGAGAAACGGCAAAAGTTTTTTTCAATAATTTATAGCCAAAAAAAAACCCCTCAAAATTTATAGATAGAGGATATTTACATTACATTTTGTTCAGTGATCAGTTTCAGGTTTAATTGCAGCAGTGACTGTTTTAGAGTCTGTATGCTTCAGTTATTTTAGTATTTCATTAGTTGGAATAAATAACAAATATCTAATTTATTGTTTCAGCTCTAGCTACAGTGTAATATGAAGCTGGTCCCTGTCATGTTTTGACTGGATTGTTTCTTTTTTACGTTTTTGACAGTCAATTATAAATCTCAAACCTTTTCCTAAATTTGCACGTTTCTTGATGTTGAACAGATCCAGTTCCATGTAACCATCAGCCACGCTGGTTATTCCCTCTACACTGGCTGCCCCTTCCCCTGCTGGATGCAGTGGGCTCTGATCGGCTATGCTGTCACCTTCATCGTCCTCTTTGCCAATTTCTACTACCACGCATACAGACGCAAACCATCACAGAAAGGCAGCAAGCCAGAGGCCAACGGCACTTCGGCCGTGACTAACGGTCACAGCAACATGGAAGAAGTGGAGGAAAATGGAAAGAGGCAAAAGAAGGGAAGAGCAAAAATGGAGTGAAGAAGGAAGAGGCACATCCCTGGCAACAAGCTGAAAGTTGATGGAGAAAGAGGGGAGAAATAAACCAGACAATTATCTGTGCAGATAATGTAGATTGAGGTGATTCGGGACCAACCTGAGAAGAACAGCGGGTGTCAGTGTGTATTTATGGGCAAGTCTGTAAAAGCTTCTGGTTTTTAGGTGGGAGACGGCTTTGGTGGTTGTCTCCATAACATTTTTTTTTTAAAGAAGAAAAGCAAAATGCTGATCAAATAGGCTCCATGCTATTCTGTCCAGCTGTGTTTTGGACCCTGTTAGGACCAAAATGTCACAGAAAATGCAAAACCTGCTCAGCATTCACGACCAAATTTCACCTTCAACTTTTGTACTCTGGATTCTAACATCGCTTTATCTGAATGCTCAAATAGTTAATGTGCTAATTTATTTGTTAGGGCTCTAAATAAATTTTGATTAAGTCACCATTTTTGTTATGCTATTTTTTCGGGGGGTGGGAATATTTGTGTTTACAAATGCAGTTGATTTAAATATGTTTGTCAAGGAAACACCTACAGTTTGCCATCTACTGTATTTACATTGCCTTGACAAAAGCATTTATACTGCTTTTTTCTTCAGCCATCCGACTTTAAAACTTCATTTAGATTTTATGTAACAGATCAACACAAAGTTGCATGTATTTATGTAAAAGAAGACAAAAAGGTTTCTTTTTTAATTATCTGACAATTATACACATTTGTTGGAGTTAGAGTAAAATATTTGCCAAGTCTCAGCTCTTTTAGACAACATTGTCTTTTATCTTAGCTCCCTGTACATAACCTCCTATTCTCTCTGACCAAAACAAACGTATCCTAACATGACACTGCCACCACTTATTTTGTACTATGGGGATTTTGTCTTTTTGGTTTAGTTTAATCAATTTTCCCTCCCCTCTCAGTGCTTTGCTTGAAACCCAACAGTTCAACCTCAGTCTCATCAGATCAGAGTAGCTTCTTCCACATATTTGCTGTGTACCTGTCATTGCTGATGACAGAAGTCTTTCAAAAGTGGCTTTTTTTTATTTTATTTTATCATAAATACAGTCTTATGTTGATGGGAAACTACAGCTTGTCTTAACAACAGATTCTTCCGCCTAAACTGCGGATATATGTTTTTCTGCTACATTTATTTAGGTCTGCTAACTGCTTTACGATTAATGTGTTGCTTTAAAAAAGAAAAAAAAAAACATATATTAGTCCTTCTAATTAAAACTTTCTCTCCATATGCTGTTGGTCTCTTATATAAAACACATTGAGGTTTATGGTGGATGGTGAAAATGTTAAGAGCATATGAATACTTTTGCAAGGCTCTGCTACTTATTTGTGATGATCTGCAGCATCTTTCAACAGGTCCAACAGCTCATGGACAGTGCAATTCTTTGCAAGGAGAAAACTGCTGCATTTAAAGAACAATATGCAAATACCCTTGTGTTTATTTGGAGCTAAAAAACAGATTTGAAAGACCTTAGATTTATTTATGGTTTTTAGGAAATATTTATTGGCAGTAAAAATCCATCTTCTTATGAGTCTTCAAAAATTGATTTCTTTTTGCTGTGCATCATAGTCGAGTTTCAAGGATGTCGTCTACTGCCACTTAGGATCGAATGGAAATGCCTCATTAATGAAAAGCTTTTTTTTTTAAGAAACCAAGAGGTCATTTTATTGTCTTGTTCAAAGAAAAGGGACTCTGCTTCCTGGCTGCACATGTAAATGAAATAAAGAAACTGTCAGCACTGCTTAGATTCTTGTGTTTGTTGTATCTATGTTATTTCTCAATTGTTGTGACTGACTCCATATCAGATGCATTTTTTTTTATTTTTTATTTTATTTTTCCTCCCATCTTTTCTGGATCTTCAGGTAGAAAAGATCCTGTTGCAGGTCTCTGTGTTAGAGGCTGTTATCTTCAGCCTGTTCAGACAGATCTGCCCTAATCTTTGAGAGCAAATTGGCTTTAGCTCCAAAAGAGCTTATTTCCACGTCACTCCTCGAGCTATCCAGGAAACCAGGTCACTGTCAGAGAATCTACTGCTAATCTTTGAGCAGTTACTGTTTGTAACCATGAAAAGAAAGAAGAAACTGAGGGACATTTCTACAAAAAAATACACTTTGAAATAATTATTTCCATTGACAATGTTTTTTTAAAGATACATTTTAAATATCCAATCTGGTTTTAAAGTATAACTTTAATCTAAATAGATTTTCCAAATTGTCTTTTATCTGTATATATAAATATATATTTACAAATGACAAGCACATTCTAATTGTTGGCTTACAGTATTTCATATTTTTTGCACCCTGTGCAACTGCTTAACTCCACCCTCCTTTCTTCCCATTTGAGGACACTTGCAAACTACCAACCCTCTCTATACTGGCATCAGGGTGGGGGTTAAAGGATAGATAGACAAACAATATTCTAGATAAGTTCAGTGCCAGGGAGAATATTTGTCCTCCTCAGGGACACAAAGGGATCTAAGCTAAGGACTAAGAGGATTGCAGAGGGGTCAATGCTTCTAGCACAGGGCACTATTACCTACCTACCCCCCCTCCATGCTGATCAAAAATGTGTTTGCACATTTAGCTATAAGCTGACTTATGGATTTGTAGAGTAGTTACAACTGTTGATGCAGCCAAAAAATGTATGCAACTGATTCGACTTAGAAAAAAATATATATTTATGTGCTCCAAATTTTAAATTGGTTCCCATTTATTGAATCAACAGGTTTGCTGTGGCTAAGAGTTTCATGGGTCTGCAGACCACAGTACACAGTAAATGTTGCAGTGTTAAAGTAAAACTCTAGAGTACATTTGGTCCCACTCTGAATTAGTGTGGGACCAAATATACTCTCAAAGTGTTATTTTAACACTGCAATATTTACTGTGTATAAAACAGGGTGAAGGGTCGTTGAGCAGGTTTTAAATCCCTCCAAACCTGACCCGTTGCTCACTCATCTCATTAGCAATTAAATGACTAAGAGAGACTAAACTGAGTGGAAACAGTCAGCGTTTTATTGGCTCTAGGTCCGTGGAACAGTTTAGCGTATAGACAGCGACTTCTGCTGGACAAGGATAATATCTCGGTCTATTGTGAGTGGAACTGTGTCTGGAAAGGATAACTAAATATGCATCTTAATACATTGAAATTTTTTATTGAAAATGTAAATATATTTTAGAAAATTGAAGAAAAAAAATCTAACTAACTAATATAGATCAATTAGACTGCAAGCATCTGTGTATTTGTGACATTGCCTAATAATTTTTTTTTCTTCTGCATTCAGTTATTATGATCATTGTATGCATTACCCAGTAAGCACTCCATGTGCTATCTATTTATTTCTTTGTTTTAACATTTGGGGGTTTAGAAGGATGCCAGCAACTGTCTGCTGAACTTTCAACCTAAAGTCTTCACCAGCATGGAGGTTTCTACATTTTAAAATGTTTTATTTGGTTCCTTTAAAGATATATTTTGTTTCTATGAGAAATTGAATTCTTGTGTGTAAGCTGTAAGTCAGGATCATTAATATGAACAGAAAATAAATATTTAAGAATTATTGGCCTGCATAGAAATTTTAGGTAAATATTGGTAATTAAATGATTGGAAAAAAAACTTCATGATCATATCAACGTATTGACAGTTATATGGGTTTTAACCTATTCAAAGGCAGCTGTAATACTGCATACGTTCTGCTGAGTTTAGAAGTAGAGAGTCTGTGTTGATTGGTAGATGTGATGGAAAGCTAACATGAAAAATGTGAACAGATATAGTAGTTCACATTTTTTAGGCTCCAATGTCTTTATTCTTCTACATGTTCCTTGTGTTCAAACTGATAAAGGAAAGAAAGCAGTGTGTTGGCTCCTACAGCGTGGAATCAGCTCCAGTCTGAGCTCAAGATGTCAGACATTATTTAATTGGACTTATTTCGAGCTGGGATGGCAGGGAAGCTGGTCATAGTCAATAAGAAGGTTAATGGATTTAAATACAAACAAATAGAAAAGAAAACCTGCAAGTGGCTGCAGAAGACTTGAATGTTTACCTTCTGGCAAGATGGCAGCACAGCACGATCTACAATAAAATAGTTAACATCTAAATAAAATCATTAGTAAAATTACCCAGTCACAGGGTTTAAAAAACTGATATCTATAAAGGCTCTACAGTCCACATGCATTATGACCATACTTGAGGCATTTCACAAACAAGAACTAGCTAATGTCAGTTTCAGGATGTGCAAAGGTGGTAGATTCACCCAGGAAGCTAAAGCCTTATGAAAAGGGGCTCAACAAAACATTGGCTCAGAGTGGGCAAAATACAAAAGCATGCTAAAATCTGCGGGAAAAAAATATATATGAAAAAAAAATCTCTCAAAACCATAATTTAGTTCTACTTCACGGTGCTTGTTATTCTTTCAAATGGAATCTAAATGAAATACAACAAATATTGATGTCATGCAACAACAATACAGAAGAGTTCATAATCTAATGATCTTGCAATATGCTATATTCTATACTCTAAAATTAAATGGGGATTAGAGGGGCACTGTGGCAAGATAAATGTGAGGCTAGGCGATTTTGCAAGCCATGTTAACATACATTCGGTTATACTGCTTTTACATTCAAAATATCTCAAATTGTTTTATGACTAGACATTTTAGCTATTTAAGATATCTCTAATTATATTTTGACTAGTCAAAATACCTTTTCTAGATATCTCTAATTATATTTTAGTTAAAATACCTTTTCGAGATATCTCTGATTACATTCTGACTAGTCGAAATGAAGTCAGATTTACATTAACTTGTACAGAGACGTCAATTTAAGATATCTAGAATGAATTACTGACTGTCTGAAATACACATTCCAGATATCTACAATTAAATTACGACTAGTCATAATTTAAAGTAATTTCAAGATATCGCGATTTTAGTTTTGAATAGTCATAATTCTAATTAAAAGCCACCATGATGTAAAATAGTGTTTTCTTCCGGGTTTGACGTCCATCATGACGTTATGGTCAGAGCCCCTTGTGGTGCTTGGTGGTGCCCTGAGTTGCCCATTCCCTCCTTTTTGAAGCCTTGCGGTAGGCATAAAATCGAGGAAACAGGAAAAGAGCATTCGATCAAACTTCTAGTTTATATAGAACTATATCTTTTATTGTTAACCTTTTCTTCTATTTGGAAAGTCAGTTTCTGATGGAAACCTTTTCCATAACCGTTGATTTTTATTTTTTCCAAGTTGCGGTGATGTTATTATGGAAGAACAGCGACATCTAGCGGCGTCTTTATATAAATTAAAACTTCCTGAAACTTGAAAAAAAAAAGATTTACGGTAAAAAAAAAAAAAAAAAAACTGATAAATTTGAGCCTAGAATATAATAATTGAATTGCATCAAATGGCGTAAATCGCATATAGCGGGTGTTTTGTGTCTATTTTTGTGGAAAACAAAAATGAAGCCAGTTGGTAGCTGCGCTCAAGAACCTTCAACAACCCAGACAACTGGTAAAAGTACTGGATGTCGAGGCAGAGCTCAAGATAAAGCGACGAAGCTAGCGGCTAAACATCCGAATAGGTTCTACTTGAAGGCGGAAAGAGGTAGAGACACAACTGGCAGGGACAGCAGATCCACCGGCGGCCGACAGGGGGACCCAGAGAGGCGCAGCGGGGCAGCTGCCCAGGCTGTTGGTGCTGAGGCTGATCTCACTTCAAAAAGGGCGGATGCTGCCAGAGGAGATTCACCGGTAGCACCGGCCCGCCGCTCAGCTCAATGCATTCCCTGCTTTAAAGATAACCCTCCTCGGAAAACCCCCGTCAACAAGACCTCCTCTCCAAGGAAAAAAGAGGAGGCGGAGGAAAACAGACAGCGGGAGAAGAGAAGCAGCAGCACCGGGGGTTGTGGAGCAGGCCTCGGCTTTGGTCCGTGGAGAAGATGCTCACAGGCTGAGCTGATCCACTTTCATTTACAAAGGAGACGCAAGAGGAGCGTGGCGACGATGCAGACTAAACCGGAGGGCGGTGGTAGAGAGGAGGCGGTGCAGGGGGAGCTGGATCCGGCTGCAGAGGCGATGCAGGCGGCGTCCGAGGCAGAGCAGGACCAGGCCCTGGAAGAGGAGATAGAGAGGCTGCTGGAGGAAAACGATGACCTCAAGGTTTATAATTCATCATGAAATGAAAACGGTTTAAAAAAGAAATGTGTTGATATTCTTACTGTTGATAATAACAGATGGACGACCAATCAATCAGCCTGTTGATTATTCTCCATGACAGACTTCTAAGCCTTATTTGCAAAACACAGTCAGTAGAGGAATAATACATTAATGGTTATTGATCCAAATGATCAATAATATTTTGCCTTTAAAGGATATACTAGGTCTATACTATTAGTAAGAGCATTGCTCAATCACAGGGCAGGATAGGCTTCATATTACAAACATATCTATTAATAACAAACAGCAGACAAGGAGATAACTGCAACCTTAAACTAAATGATTTTGGTGTTGTATATTTTATCTTTTGGTGCAAACATATGACATATGAAATAAATGTATAAAGAAAAAAAAACGGTGAGCTTGTTGCCAAATTTCTGGTGCATGTTTTTTATTGACTATTAGAAATTCAATGAAAAAAGACACAAAAAACCTCCTATATTTTGATTTTAATAAATTATATTTCCAAATATATAACTTTATAACAATATTACAAATAAAAAATGGATTTAAAAGGTAATTAAAGATCCATGAATGAAAACAATGATAATAATTAATCTTTTTTTTTTTAGATAATTAAAGTTAGTTCTGTGAGAAACATAAGCAAAGTATGGTAATCATAACCATCTTGTGTGTTTGACCAGTGCGAGATTGAGGAGATGAGGGCCGAGATGGATGAAATGCGGGATACTTTCTATGAGGAAGACACATGCCAGCTGCAGGAAATGAGGCGTGAGTTAGAGAGGGCCAATAAAAACTGTCGGATCCTGCATTATCGGCTGCGCAAAGCTGAGAGGAAAAGGGTGCGCTACGCCCAGGCAGGAGAGATTGATCACGAGCTGCTGAGGATTCTGGAGCAGGACCTGAAGGTAGAAGCCATCAATCAAACCACATGAAGTCTACACTAACATTATCACGAAAGCTTTTTATTTGAACTCTTACGTTCATCACATTTTGAAATGCTGTATCAGAAAGGAGGCTGATTGTTTATTGTCTGGTAAATGTATTGCAGGTGGCGAAGGATGTGTCAGTCCGGCTGCACCATGAGTTGGAAAAGGTGGAGGAGAAAAGGACAAAGACGGAAGAGGAGAATGAAAAACTGAGACAGAAACTCATAGAGGTGGAAGTGACCAAGCAGGCTCTGCAGAATGAACTAGAGAAGACCAAAGAGGTGAGTGCATTAAAGGTCATTACACTGGACTGATTTTGGTCCTTATCATAAACGAACGTGGAAGCATTGAGAGCCATGTATAAAAAATACAAGCTGAATAGACATGTATATATAGTGTCATACTAAAATATAAATACATTACTCATGGTTTTTGAAGATTTTTGCACAAAGAGTTTGCAGTTGCACCTAACTGTTAGGATAATTATCATTGAAGATGCGTGAGTTTTATCACACCCTGGTATGGGCTGTCTGTTGTTTGTCAGAACTGACATTTTAATCTAATTAGGACAGTTCTTCTGTCTGGATAGACAGTTATAATCTTCATTTTGTATGTGGCAAAGATTTGGAAATGGAATGAGCGGCAGTGTCCTGTTTTGATAAGGCTGGAACCATAGATGTCTAATCATCTGCTAATGTGTATGATGTAAAATATGATGATGTGGCAGACTGATGAGATGTATAAAATGCCTTATTAACCATTAATCGGGGCCACTTCCTAAGAGGTGAGCCCAGAGGTGAGCAGCTGCCATTCTGTAACCGTGAGCAATTTCTCTGATCTGAGTAAGATTAAAATTTCAGTCAGAATCTGCTGTCATGTCTTTAATACATATAAGTTATGAAATGTTATTTAAAGAGTTTGTCCCGAGTGATCTCTTTTCAGGGAAAAGAACCGGAGAGATAGAGCATCAGGGTGCAAACACAGAGCCTATCTTTAACATAACCACCTTTAATCTGACACCCCAGAATAAAACCCAGTTGCTTAAAGTCACCTGAGAAATAAAACGAGTCCATCTGTGTCTTATTTGTTCTCAGCATCAATACATCTTTTTTAGAGGTTGGTTAGAAAACATCGATGCGCAGACAGCATCATGAAAACCAACTAACACTGCAGACAGCTGATAAAGCTGTGTAGAAGTTAAAGTAGGGTTCACTTCTAAAACCAAAACTCTGAACAAAAAAGTGGTTAACAGTCGGATGCATATCAAATTAAAGCAGCTGTACAAGAATGAGACTTAATAAGCATTTTTTTTTATAACTGAACTTTGTTGATATTACACTGGAGAAATTTACCTCTGCTTTTAACCCAAACCCTGGGGAGCAGTGTGTGGTTAAGGGTCTTGCTCAGGGAGCCAGAGTGCAGGCTGTGGGGATTGAACCAGGTACTTGCAACCTTCTTAGAGCACAAGCGCACTGCTCTAACCACTAGGCCAACACTCCCCTAAGCCTTGATGTTCTGCAGAGAAGAATGGGGAAGAACACGTTTGGTCTCTAGATGTGGTCAGCTGGTTAGTATCAGTAGCAAAAAGATGTCTGTAAATCTACTTCATCTTCACCTTTTCATATATCTTTGTGTATTTTTAGTTATACCGTCAAAATAAAAGCATGGTGGCATAAATATTCTTCTTTTTTTCTTAGTCTCAAAAGCGAAGGGGAAGCAAAGACATCCAGAAAGCTGACAAGAAGCCAACACAGACTCCCATAGAGGTCAGAGACTCTCTGCTTTCTCTTTCTGTTTTTTATGATCATCACTGTCTTCCTGATAAAGTCTTCTCAAGCCTAACACATAGCATGTTATACTTTAAGTACAGCCAAAAGATTAGAGTGCTTTAGTCATAAATAAAGACTCAGTGAATGTTAAACATCCTCTTGGACTGACCTCTTGGCTGACAGGATGTTGCTCAAAATCTTTCCTTTAATCTTAGGTCTTTGAGTTGTTGTAGCTTTTTGCTGAGACTGATTTTCTTCTTGTTTCAGGAGGATAATGAAGACCTAAAGTGCCAGTTAGCTTTCATCAAGGAGGAAGCGGTGCTCATGAGAAAGAAAGCAGGCAAGATTGACAAGGAAAAGGATGGTCTGGAGCAAGAGTTGCAGAAGTATCGCTCTTTCTACGGTGAACTGGACAGTACCCATCCCAAAGGGGAGGCTGGCGGCCCGCCTACCACCCGCGAGTCAGAGCTAAAGCTCCGGCTTCGATTGGTGGAGGAGGAGGCCAACATCCTAGGGAGGAAGATAGTAGAACTGGAGGTAAGACCAGAGCATGCTGTGAAAAGCTTTTTGAGGCAAAATCCATTGATCATTAGAATTTGTCTCCATCTTCCCAACCAGGTTGAGAACCGAGGTCTGAGAGCGGAGCTGGACGACCTCCGTGGCGAGGGAGAGGGTGGCGAAAGCGGGTCTGAGGCGACAGGCGGGCCGGGTGTGGGCCGAGGTCTGGGCGAAGATCTGACGGAGCTCCGGCAGCAGCTGCAGCTGGTTGAAGATGAGGCCGAGCTCCTGAGGAGGAACCTTGCTGATACAGAGGAGCAGAACAAGAGGGTGACAGCAGAGCTGAACAAATTGCGCTTCAAGGCCGGCACCCACGAGGGAAGTTCCAGACATGGTGGAGGGGGCTCAGGAGGAGCAGCGGCTGATGGAGCTAAATCTGAAAATCTTCAGGAAGAGCTTAAAGCTGCCAGGCTACAGATTAATGATCTCAGCGGCAAGGTCTGGATTTTTATATTTTCTTTCTTTATTATGAAGTGAAAATCACTTTACATCCTGCACCACGTCACAACCACAAGCATTAGTGTAGCATTAATAAGATGTGACATAAACAAAACCAACAAATATTTATTCCATAAATGTAAAATAGAAGGAATAGGATATGTTGCTAACATCAAGCACTTTTGATTATTACTCCTCTAATATGATACCCCTAAATAAAAACAGCAGCCACAGTCAGATGTTATAATTATTACAAATGCATGTGACAGTTTAAATTTTTTATCAGTGCAGAAATTATTACTTAACTATTTTAAATCCACCTAAAAATAATAATGTTGGTGGCTAACGTCCCAGAATAGCACATTTAAACGGGTAGAATCTAATGCTTGATTTAAGGAAACAAGACTTATTTGTTTATATTTTTGCTTCTATTTTTGTTTAACAAGCAGTATATACAGGACAGCGATGTTTACGTTTTCATGCATCATGCAATTGCATGCCTCTTTAAAAAAACGGTTGATCTTAAAGGTGTAGAGGAGGATGTTCTTTTTGTGGGTGGATCATCAAAATAAGTGGTCCTCCTAATTTTCAATCATTATAATATGTTTACGTAAGGCCGTCTGTGCCCAGCAAAGGATAAGACAAGGTAGCTATAGTGGGCTAAGTCTACTCAGATGCAATTCCAGCCATTTTCTTACTCACAGTCCTTAAAAAGTAAAATGATTAGAAGACATATTTAACTTGCTTTAATGTTTTTATATCTTTTTCTCTGTGCAATATTTGCAAGAGACACGTGTGTTCACATGTAAAAATAATTCCAGTGCAGTTACCGACGTTGGCGTTTATAATCCCTGCATTGCATCAAGTTTGTAATAGTAGGTTGGGTGAGAAAGACTTAAAGGTGTAGCGGACAATGTTCTTTTTCCAGGTGGATCATCAAAATAAGTGGTCCTCCTAATTGTCAATCATTATGGTGATATGTTTACGTAAGGCCGTCCCACATGCTCGTCCCCATTTTCACTTACCAGTGGTGAGTCTGACATGATGGAAAAATTGCACATTTTCTTTTGGAAAGTAAGCTTATGAGTGGTGCAAATGGCAACCTTTAAACCGCGCGTGCACAAGGAGAAATGGGCTCATGCATGATCTTGCAGGCATTTAATAGGTACAGGGTTGTTCATGTGCATTTTTAAGTGGAGAGGCGGGTCTTTTTAAAAATTCCTGAAAATCCTCCATTATACCTTTAAGGTTGAGGTTATTGACACCAGCCGGAAAAACTACCGTAAATATGTTAGTCTGCAGGATGTTTAATAGACTTTATTTTGATATAAGAATTAGTCATAATACTGATCCCAACATAGTTGGGACTGTTGGTTACTACCCTTCCAACTTTGATCAGACAAGCCCATGAAACTCTTCTATTTAGTTACTTAGTAATTACGTTAGCTATATAGTTATATAGTTACTTTTTTAGTTCTTATGATATTCTGTGTCCTTTAACATGTGTGGCTATTATACATCCATTTTGAATCTATCCTTATCTTTGTTTGTGTGTGCGAGACTCCTCCTGGCCCCTGGGGTAAACAGCATTAAGGGTCTGGCTGCCTTCAGGATCAGTGAGAGAGTTTCTCTATAAAGGAGGGAAATGAGAGTTCTTCAGGTCACTCAACTTGAATTAATGGCCCAAGCACCAAATTGGACAGGCCATGATGAATAAAATAAGAATAAAATGATAACAAATGCAGTTTCATTGTCCATTAATTTGACACAAAACTCAAAGTTGTATGACTGGTTGAATTTGTTTCTGTTTTTCTGTTTCTGCTACTCACAAAGTAGTATAAAAAGTAATGATAACCTGTTTCACTATCTGTTAATTTGTGAAAAGCAATAAAAAATAAAATTTCTCCCTCACTGTCTTTATTTAAGGTAATGCAACTTCAATATGAGAACCGTGTCCTCCTCTCCAACATGCAACGCTACGATCTGGCTTCCCATCTCTCCCTGCGGCCCAGCCCTAGAGACAGTGATGCAGAGAGCGATGCAGGTGGAGCCACAAGTGGGCGACGTGAGAGCGACGAAGACTCCACCTCTTCCCGCTTGCTCCCACCCCATCGTAAACGGGAGGGCCCTGTGGGCGGGGAAAGTGATTCAGATGAGGTGAGAAACAATAACGGCAGCAGCCGGTGCATGACGCCCACAAGGGGCCTCTACACCCCGCCGGGTCCAGAAGGCTCCGCCTCCTCCACCTTGACTCGCTTCCTCCCCGGTAGGCGTTGTAACCTCCATGACAGACAACAGCTGATGGACATACGTGTGGAAGCAGAGAGGCTCGTACGGACCATCGACAGTCTCATCGCTGATACCGCCACCATCATTTCAGAGGCAAGGGTCTACGTTTCAAATGGTGATTTGATGTTTAGGACGGGCGGAGAGGAGGGCGGAGAGGAGGATGGGAGCAGGATCAGGGAACATGAACTGCTGTATCGCATCAATGCTCAGATGAAGGCCTTCCGAAAAGAGCTGCAAGCTTTTATTGACAGACTGGATCTTCCAAGGCTGGAGGACAGAGATGCAGACGAGCCACTCTCAGTAAGACTTCAAACTTCTCACCTTCATTTATACTTATCAAAACCAAAAGAGAAAACTGACCTTCTTCTTTTTCTCTCACCTTTTTCTCTCCTGTTACATTTTTCCTTAGATGTTCCAACCCATCATTTTACTCATCCTTATACTGGTCTTATTCTCATCCCTCTCTTATGCCACTATCTTTAAACTAGTCTTCCTGTTTACTCTCTTCTTTGTTCTGTGATGTAAGCCTCCCTTTTGCTCGAGTCATCCGTGTTTGTGTTCGCTATGTTGCTCTTATTTTTCCTTTAAATGCCTCATTTGTTGCAATGATAATCTAAAGCACAGCAAAAGCCCTTTCCACTCACTAAGTGTCAACAACAACTGGAGTCTCCAATATCATAATGCATCCCTGTAAGCATCACTTGCATCAGAAGGTGAGTTTCCTGAGTGTTGCTGTGTAGTTCTTATGAATTTAATAAGTGGTGCCGCATTAGCGAGAATCCCCACTTACTAAAGGGGCCTGCCTTAAAAGTGACAGAATTTTTGTTTTTGTGTTTTCTTCGTTTTTTGTAAAATTCAAATGTTTAATATCTGACAAAAATCATGGATTCAAAGGGTAGTCCCAAATTATGCTATTGTTTATTAAGGGATAAAAACCAACTGTCTGGCCTAATTCAACCAGTAGAATAAATATATCACTTAATAGCACCTGTCAGGCAACAATAAGTAGGCTAAAATACACAAAAACTAAATAGAAACCCAAAAGAAAATAAAAACCAGATGTTTTTCATTCTGAGGAAAACATGGAACAGTGAGTAACCTCATAGACTGATTGAGAACCTGGAACAACATCTAAAATCATAACTTAACTTATGATTTTAGCATTGATCCTAACTTTCTATAGTTAGAATCAGTGCTCACAATTTAACAATTACATAGAGACTTAAAACATTTTTAAAAAGTATCAGAGGGAGAACTCCAAGACCAAACCATTTCTGACTGAAGAAAAAAATCAAATATCCCTCTTATTAGGCCCAGTAAATCTTGACATTAGACATTCTTGACATTGCTTAAAAAAATAAGAGAAAAGATGTTTTTTTTAGAAAAAAAATGTAAATTGTGTCTTGCATAAAATTATCTAGGAGTTTTGAAAAAGCATTGGTACTACAATTAATCAGAATCAGAAATACTTTAATAATCCCAGAGGGAAAATTACTTTTGTTACACGCTCCAGTTACAGTTTTATATATATATATACACACATATCCAACTACACAATAATAAAGATAAAAACATAAGAATAAAAGAGATCAAATATATACATATATAAACATAGTGAGAATTAGAATGATGGTCTGGGCTCCTTTGTTGATTTCACACCTTGTCATAACTAATGGAGCCATAAATGTCACGACTCTGAACGACGGACCCAAAATTCAGACAAGACAGAAAGTGGGATAACTCAAAAGCATTTATTAATAATGACGGGCTTCGGATCTGTGGATTTGCAGAGGTTACTGCATCTTAGGCAGTAACCTCTACAGGACAGAAACACAGGTTAGTGACCATGATAATCTGACGGGGGAGTCACTAACCTGGTTTAACAGTTCAGTCCATGCTAAGAGCTAGGTAGGATCCAGCCGGTGGGTTGCCAACAAGATGCGGCGGGCGTCGTCAAGAGTGTCCCAGATGCTGCAGCCCCGGAGAACATACAGTAGTCTGAAGCCAGGTCAGACAAACAGATAAGAACAGGAACAGGCAGGCTCAGAGGTCCAGGAGTCCAATTATACATCAGGCTGACCATTCAGATGGGAACAGGCAGGCTCTGTGGTTGGGAGGCAGAGCAGGTCAGGATCAGGTAATCAGAAGCACTCACGTATGCTAAAAACACTCTCACCACTGTCTGAAAGGAACAAGATAATCTGGCCCTGATGAATGGATGCAAGCACCTTAAATAGAGGCAGAAGCAGGTGGATCAGATGAGCAATGATGAGAAACAGGGCAGAGTTAGACAAGTGAATGGAATGAGTAATTAAGCCAGTCATCAGTGCCAAGATCAGGAAAATAAATTCTGCTCTCTTCCAGATAATCCTTAAGGAGAATCAGTTTGGGTCTTAAACTTTGAGCTTGTTCAGTTTAAAGAGCCCTACAACGACCCAAAGCACCTCTGAATTGCTCAAAAAACAAAGGTTTTCTAGCTTTTGGGCCCAAGTCTGAATTCAGCTCTGACTAAGAGACAATTCTGCAAGGAGGACTGGATTAAATTTCCCCAAAATAATACTATAAAACACAGCCGCCAAGAGTGCCTGTAACAATTTACTACTTTAATGCTGGAATTACTCTTTCATATGGGGTGTGCTTTATTTCCTTAATACCAGAAAATAGTCAATTGAAAAGTTAAAGTTCTTTAAAAATAATGGTTGTTCGTAAAGCTGTATGTTTGGAAAACAAGGTTAAGGCAGAACAAAAAGCTAGAGAATTGGAAAATGGCAATTTCAAGAAAAGTGTCTGTAAATCGAGGAATTCGGGACATGGCTGCAGCCTGTCAATGGTGAAGATGACGAAGGATTTTGCTGTGTATAATTGAAAGGCATGGGTACTTGTTGATGGCATTCAAAATATTTCTAGAGCATTAAAAAGCATTAAATTAGAGTTACTCATTCCTGTTTAAACCCAGATTTAAGTATGGCCTACTATGTATTTGATATTTTTAGATGTGATCTTTCATTGTTATATTTCTTCTTCACTTGTGTTTTTCTTTATCTGCTATTTGTTCGGTGCATCTGGGTCTCTGCTGTTTTTGGTTTTTCCTGCAGAACTAAGAGACAATCAATGACTTTATCTAAGTACATCATCTTGATTTGAATAAAACGTGTAGAACTCTGAGACACTGAATCAAGAAACAAAGTAATCTCTGGAAAACTGTTTAATTTTTTGTGTTAATTCTTTTAATTGATGTGAATCTGAGCATTTATAGTAAATCCCCTTCCTCTTTTAAACGATGTTTTTAAACTCCCTCTCCGTTCTCATCTTTAGATAAATAGATTCACTAATGTGTTATAACACACAAACTTTAAACACATTAAGTTGTTGTTTAAAGAAGTTAATTATTGCTACGCTATCATAAACCTCTCACCCCCATTCCAATCTCCATAACAACTAAGAGACAGCAAAGATCATCTGTTCAAAAAGCAAATCCAAGTAATTCTGTTGGAGCCAGGGTAGAGTGGTTAGAGAGCCATTTGTTTGGAGTGCTGGAAAATGAAAAGAGTGGCCCTTATTCTGAGAAGCTTTTTGCCTGACTCCCTGATGATTCTCCATGCTAAGGTCAGTCTGACTGCTCTCTAATAAAGGTTAGATACTGACTGCAAATCATAAACCCAAATCAGACATTCTGGTTTTCAAGGTTTTCAGTAAAGATGCTAGCCACCATGCTGCTTTACATCCTAGTTTGTCCTTGACTTGATTAAGAGTCTATTTTTATCTTTAACATTCTGTGAATGAAACATTCTGTTTGTTTTCCAGAGAACTAGTCCTATCATCCTGCTGTTATTTCCTGAGGGTGAAGTAAAGAAAGTAAGTGTGTTTGTGCATTTTGTTCTTCAAGCACATGACATGTTTGTCATATTAAAGAGCAGGTGGAGGGAAGAGCTGAGGAGCTTTACACTTGAGGAACATAAATTGGGTCAAATTCTGTCTCTTGTTGTCAGGGGATCGTTGAGGTACCCACATACATAAATCTGATCTGGTGCTGGCATTTGTTAGTGATGGTGACCGATTCATAATTACATGTGCAGGGATTCTATTTTTTATTTTTTTTTGCAATATGTATTTATTTACATTTCATGCACTAGACAAACATGATGTGGTGCATAGCTGTGAAGCTTAAACGACTTGAAAAACGGATTTCTCAGAGCAGTTCTTCTGATTGCATACAAATATCTTTCTTTTGGCTTATTATAATCGTTTCTGTAATTAGCTTCTTTTTTTACCTTATTTATTTGTAAACAACTACTCTCTTCGGTAAATATTTGCCATGACAAGATCACTTACATAACTGTGAAGTCTTAGGAAAAAAAAAATTGTTTTATTTTAATTAGGGATAGACTTTAACTAGGCCATTCTCCACTGTTGTTAATCTGGTTCCATGTTTAGAGTCAATGTCCAGCTGAAAGTTAGGGTTTCATATCAGTTTTTCTCCATACATATAATTTGGCATTAAGGATAAACTTTGGCAAGTTGTTAAATACGCATTGTCGAACAACAGCTTTCTTTTACTTTTTTTTATTAGGGGTACTGCTTCACTTAGTGTTGCTCAATCAGATAAACCTTGAGGTAACATTTGTTGTGGAATTTGTTTGCAAGGCACTGAAGCTAAAGGTAACAGCTGACATTTTGCAATTATATACTATTTACAGTAAAAATGTGTATGATATCTTTATCTGTTTCATTCTTTTATTTTACAAAATATTTTACAAATATTTATAAGCCTGAATGCAAAAGAGCCACATATCACATATGAAGTTTAAAGAATTCAAAGTATGAACTAAACATATGTCAAATGTGCCAAGCATCCACCTGACAGTCTCCTTTCCGTGACTGTGTTCAATAAAGATATTATTGACTGTGACAAATTATTACTCACTGTGTCACCCACACCCATTTGGCTTCCTTTGGAAAAATGATTTGCAGTATGGTCGGGTCACAAGACGAAATCTGCCCATGTCTCCTATAAGCAGAGTAGCAACAGAGGTGCCCATTGGCTGAGAGAGCGGCAGCAGAAATAGCAATGTAAACACTTTCCCTCTCTCCATGTGCCTCAGTAATTATAGCTGGGATGCTGGTGACGACAGTCGTCCCATCGAGACTTCAAATGCTGGAATGAATTTGACACTATGGCATTTGATCCCGGATCAGATTGGTGCGTACTGGGGTGGTATAAAGGCTGGGGACCCCAGCTGGAACAGAGGATGTTTACCCTTTAGCTCAAAGCTTGGTTCTTAACTTTGAGGAAGGGGACCCTTTAAATTGAGTGTGCTGGGATTTACGTAACAGAGCGGGGCATAAGAGAAGGGCAGCAACAAGGAAAGGGGACTTTACAGCCTGGCAACGCAGGGAGGGAAAGTGCCTGAGAGAACAGATCTTAGAAGAGGAATTATTTTCTGGAAGACGGAGCATTTCTTTTGAGAGTTTAGGTAAGAACTGCTGGATTCACTAAAACATGTTTTAGTATCATGTAATTTATATTTATCCTGGTCTGAAATTGGGGACAAAAAGCGGAATAACTTAATTTTAACTAGATTAGGATATTTATATGACATAGAAGCCATGTATTGATAATTTTTAAAATATATTTTCTGGTTGTGGCTTAGATTCTGGCTGTCCACGGGACAGTTAGTCACCTTACTATGCATAGTTACAAGTTTATTAATATCTCTACGCTTACATCACAGGTGGGAGGGAAATGGCTGGTACATTCGGGCACCTTCCACAAGGATGCATGTCATAGTGAATCATAGCAACAAGTGCATCTTAGATTATAAAAACCTTTTAAGATATCAGTGGATCTGACTAGGAGGCTTAAGGTTAAATGATCTGGAAAGTTAATAGGAAGATATGTGAGAGTGAGCTCTGCGTTTGATGGTTTATTATGAAACTCTGAAATGTCCTTTAGCATCTTAGGCATGTTCTGAGCGCCTCATTGCTCCGGGTGTTCTTATGTAGAAATATAGCAAGGTCTGAGAGGCGGCTGGAGGTCAGATGCTTGATAGATATCTATCTTGCAACTCTTCTGTCAGTGGATTTTGAAGGATAAAGGGGGTCGTCAATATCTGAACTCTGTGAGCAACAGTCCAACTCTTTAGAAAATATTGTATTTTAAAACAACAAACATTTATCCTTCAGTATGCTTCAATGTTATAGCTGACAGATATCTACCATAGGTTAGTGTGTTCTTAGACAAATATTTTTATTTATTTTATTGGTTCTTTTCTAGTGTTTTCAGGACTTCAGTCCATCCCCTCACTGGCACCACAACTGGAACTTGAGAGAGGGAAACAAGAGAAGGGAGGGGGGACGGAAACAGCTATTCAACGAGGCCTGAGGGTTATTGAACGGCCTGCATCATGGCAGCCATCGATCTGGAGCTGGGGCTGGAGGGCCGGGGGTGGGGGCAGGAAAGGCCGGAACTTGTGGACAACTTTGACTCAGAGATGCAGGAGTGGGAGGATCAGCTGCAGGACATCCAGAGGAAAATCGAAGAGGTAACAATCAGTTTACAGATAATCCCAGTGAGTCCACTATCATCTCAAGGAGGACTTTGATTTTCTAAATATGCTGTGCAGGCTGTGGAATAATTTTATGAAACTATGGCCCATAAAAGACTCTGATTGTATGATAATTTTAAGTAAAAATACTGCAGTGCCATTCTATCGACACTTAAACAAAAGTTGTCTAATTGCATTTATCTAAACCAGCAACCACTCTTCCTTCTGCTAAAACATCCAGCATATTGATTTCGACACTTAAGGCTATAAAATGTATTTACACTTAATTGTATTTTTAAACTTAACATAGAATGAGCAAAAGGGAGAAGATGTTTTCAGGAGCATCATAGATTATTCCTTTTTAACCAGTTAATTTGTCAGATGGTGTCCAAGCAACAAAGTTTTTTTTCTTTCTGCTTTTTTGCTTTTCTTTTATAAGTCAAATATTTTCCTTTCGGCCAGCTGACTGACTGTGTGCAGCAGCTGTTTTCGGGGCCCAGTACTGGGACTTTATACTTAATAGCATTTTCTCAATTTCATTAAACTTATTTCAAACCCTTAATAATAGAGGCATTGAGACAAATGTTAGCGGCACTGACATCTTGGGATGTCTTCTTTCTACACTTCTTGTTAATCTGCTCGTCACCTGAACTCATTTACAGAATAACATATTTGAGATATTACAGGAAGATGATGAACACTGGCTTTTTAACACTAACCCTATGTGTACTGAAGGTACTTCCTAAAAGCCTCCCCGGAGAGTGCTAATTGGTGTAAAGTGTGTGCATGCTCCATATTAACAGTTGGCAGCAACAGACTGACTCGACCTCTTGGCCTGGTTGGAGCAGCAGTAGAGAAATGTTAACAAGCTAATTTAACTGGTTTGTGCTGACAGACGTGCAGGACACACACTCAGCCTATCACTCATACACACAGCCTGAAAGTGGATCCTGAGGGAGTTATTGAGCAGATGCTTCCTCAAAGTTGGAAAAAAAACATGTTGAGGATAAATATAGGTTAATCAGATTTTGCACAAGTTTTAATTATGTGGAAAACAGGTCAAATCAATTTAGAACCAGCAGGGAGGGGGATTGATGATCTCCTCCCCTTTTATTTTTTTTCCAGTTATACAATGAAGTTCAGGCCCGCAGAGGAGCTAACGACATCCATGGCGACAATCAGAAAAATGGCGACCCTTCAGAGTGTGAGCTGAGACAACACAACAATGTCCTTCTACTGCCTGGCTACCACTCCGGGAATCATGTCAGAGGTGTAGCCATCACGGCGGAGCATCAGAATGACTACAGCTGCTGCCGCTCCAATGGGGCCTCAGAGATCGGAGACCTGCTGCAGAATTATCTGGAGAAGGGGAATAAAACGAGCAGGAAGAATAACAGAGCTCGCCACGTGGTGAGTACTTCCCCTCTCTCTCCTTGTCCGTCGTTCTGCTGGTATTTGCAGAAACAAGATAGGTGGGACATGATGTGAGCTGAAGCTTTGGATCTGACAGGGTTGTATTGATTACAGTTCCCTCAAGGCTGCTTACACAGAGAAGTTAGATAGCATTTAGTTTCTCATGTAGCCTAACTGTTGCACTATGTTGACACCTGAGTGAGAAGTGGGTTTAAGGCTGAGATGATAGTCAGAATTTTGTGATCAGTTTTAAATCTCTGTTGTTTCTGTATCTTTGACCTCCTGTTACCAATTTTGGCTGGTTATCACACTGTGGTATGAGAACCGATCGCTGTAAAACAATGTTTTACTTTTCTGAAGACATGAAAAAAGGATAAAAGATGAGAATTTCAAACTGTTTTTAGCCTAAGGCCAGCATGGCCAAAGATCATAAATAAAATAAAGCACACTGTCTTGCTAGGTGTCAAAAGCCAAAGCAAAAAGGTGGGTTTTGACAAGAAATTTAAAAGGAGTCACAGAAGAGGTTGAAGCTGCAACAGCAAAAGCGTGGTCCCCTCTGAGCTTCCACATCGTTTTAGGCTCTCTCAGCATTTATGAAACAGTTTTCAATGTATAGTTTTCCTACAGATTGCTAACATGGTAAATGTTTAATAATAGAGATAAAAAAACAAAGCAACTATAAATTGTCTCTCTCTCTCTCCTCTTATTTGTCTTATACCTGGCTCAGCTTGAAGTCTGAATGAAATGTAAACATCTTGTGTTACCCACGTAATCATTTCTTATGCCTCTGAGTTTTCTGAGACTTTATTATTCGTAGCTCTCTAATAGTAGCCTTCTAAAGCAAACACCTCTACAGCAAAGAATGTTGTTAATAAATGGCAAATCTAAAAATAGATCTGATTGCCGTACTGGGTGGTCTGGGTTCATCTCACTTTGGAGGTTTTTGGGCATGTCCTTCGGTGAGGAGACCATAGAGGGATCTCTGAGAGATGTCTGGGTTTCTCTAATGGAGCTCTCTCTGGATGGACATTATTGGTCATTGAAAACGAAACAAAAATCAGGTTCATCTTAGAGATTAGAACAGATTAGAATGTGTTACACATTTTAAATTTGGTATAGAAATCCTAAATAGATGTTAAGATTACTTTTTAATGTTTTCCAGCACTTCAGTGACACAGTTAAAGTGAACCAGGGGATGTCTTCATCCCAGGAGGAGGCCAGGAGACAACCTGGAAGTCACAGGTACAAGCTTCTTTTATTAATCGTTTAAAAAAAGATTGTATAATTAGGCTTTTTTGTGTTTTTAATGTATTTTTTCCTTTTTATCTGCTGTAAAATTAGGGTGGGGCCAGAGCAATATTTAAACAGTTTGGAGGAAACTGAAAACACTACGAACCGAGTGTCTCACATGAAGAATTGCCCCCAAAGAGAGGAAAACACTAGTGCAAAGCCCCCCGTTGGACAAAGAGATGGTTCTGCTGTCCCAGCACGTTCTCAGTTCCCAGTCATGACTGTCGAGTCTCCTTTGTTGGACAAAAGGTCCTTTGGTCCAGGAGTCCTGGGAGACAAAAAATGCAGCAGTCCCTCTGTCCTTCGGAAGTTTGGTGCCATGCTTCAAGAGAATGAGGGCAAGACGCTCACAGAATCTGGGGTGGTGACCCAGCAGGGACAGTCCCCAGAGGCAAAGTGTCCCACTCCTTGCTGTCAGCGCAGAGCTCTGGGAACCACCGCAGGAGCCAGTAAGGCGCCCATGCGCGTGCCTAACCAGAAATGCCAAGCAAATTCTGATGTGCTGACAGCAGAGGCAGAGCTCAGCCAGGACTGGGGTTCATTATTAGACCCTACTAGGCACCACTACAAGGATAAGAGTACTGCTAAAAGCTCTCAGTCTGCTCCTCAGCAGGTTCTGGGGAGAGCTCAGGTACCAGGGAGCCCAAAGGTCAGACCCCGGGCTAACAGTGGGACAGACAGAGAGGGAGGGAGGGCCCATGGGGAGAAAGCCATGAAGCCTGTCATCCAGCAAGTAGTAACCCAAACAGACTACAGGACAGCGAGTCCTTCCCCTGGAGCTCCGAGGATTCAGAGGGGACAGGAGGTAGCCGACTGTGGCTGGTTAAGGGAAGAAGGACTTATGGAACTATTGGACATGCTCGACATTCAACATGAATTCAACTCCAGTCCAAGAACAACATTTCCAGCTTACAGACAAGAGCCCCATCAGGTTGGTTCTTCCTCATTATGTACCTCCAGCTCTGACACTAAACAATCTCTGTCTACTAACTGTGATTATTCTGTTTCCTTCCAGATAAACCCTGCAGAGATGTCTCCAGCAAGACCCAGGAGAAGTTTCTCACGTCCTGCACGCCCTGCAAACCAGCGACCTCCTTCCAGATGGGCCAGCCGTACGCCTACAACCAGAATCACTGCTCCGTCAGGCCCTATCTACCAGCCCCCTAGCCCCCTAACTCGCGCCCCTAGTCCTGCACTTAAGCACCGGCCTCCAGTGTCCTATTCAATGCAGACAGAAACAATTATTATGTGACAATATCCATATTAAGAGAAATGTCCCCCTTAACTTGAAATAAAATGTAAATAGTGCTACAATGAAATAGAAAACTTCATCCTGATGTATTCGGAAATGTACTTTTTTTTATTTTTCCAGTGATGCTGTCGCTTTAAACTTCTTCTGTGCCTAACTTTAACAAACATTTCACCATATTGCTTTGTTGCTACCCAACATGTTATGTTTTTGTATAAAAGGAAGGTGTTTTTCTGTGTGAAGGATTAGCATGCAGCCCCAGACCGAGGGTGCGTGTTTTCAGGTTTTCACTTGGTGCCACAATGGATCAAATGCAGCCTCATTGTCCAGGGAGATCCAGCTGGAACAGAGTTCCCAATGGCAACCTGAAAACTGTTCAAATGTGTGTTTTACTGTATGATTATGTTAAAATGTATTGAAAATGTTCTATTAATAGCTGTAAAAAATGATTTTAAAATGCCTTTCATGTATTTTTCTTGGTAATAAATATGACTGTGCTTAACGTAAAAGCTGACTCTGTGTTTTGGATTGTGTTGCATAGCTTTAGTGATTTAGTGCATACATCCTCTGTACATAAACCTCCAGCAGATCAGTGCACCCAGCTCCAGTGAGAGATCAGGTGTTGGGATTTTAGCTGCCTTGGCAAAAATCATTTAGAATAAAATACCTCTAACTACCTATTCTGCCTTGAAATACATAAGTCAAATTCAGAGAAGGCATTAGAAACCATTTTCCATAGTATTCTTTTAATGATCTACTGTTTTAATCCAAGCAGGAATAAAACTGTTAGTACCCCTCGTTTGATTAGATAAATACCCCAATGGTAACAAAAATAAATTGAATATGAAAAAAAGAATAATATATAGAAATTTGATGAAAATAAACAACTTAAAGTCAAATATTGCATTTTAAGTAT